TGATGATCAGCGGGCGGATCCATCGCTTATCGTACTTCGAGGACCACAGGGACCAGAAGCCCACTGTTTACTGAACATTATGAAACGTGATAGATCCAGGCTACATGCTGAAGTAAGTTGCAGCAGAAGTCAGACATGCATGGTTATGCTGAGAGCGAATAGAGGCTTCCAGCAGACCGTCACCTCATTTCCTTGCTCGGCCCTCTGCCGCTCTCCCATACACTTCAACTTCCGCTCCATTCAATGTCATCCCATTCAATTAACTCGACGCTGAGCGTCACTATCTTGCGCGATTAATTTCTCTGCCTGCAGATTCTTAGACAGGGTGCACATCCAGCAGTACCAGTTCACACGGTCAATGGCAACGTTAACATCGTGGAGTTATCCTACATTCGTCGAGTTATTGAAGACCCCTTTGCTTACATGGCCGGTCGGTAATAAAGTCGTTGCGATGTGCACGCAGGCACAGGATGAGCGCACGATAGGAGGCGTGACCAACTCAATCTGAGCGCATTGCGTGCTGATACTATGAAGCAGTGCTCTTCACGAAGCCAATAGTACCAAAACACTAATCAGTTAACCTGCAAGACATGTCTTCCCCTTTTCTCGCAAACATCAAACTGAGCACTGCGGAAAACAAAGGAAATTCTCTGTTACACTCTTTCCACCAAGCGTCATGAACAAAATGAAGCCGACTAACGCTGCAGCGCAATCTACTATACCTTTTTCAACTATGCCACTTGAGCTCCGCGAGATCATCTACCGTCATGCATTACTTCCAGAGGACCTTACTTCTCAGTCTCAGCCCTTGAACTTCGGCCCCGTAGACACCCGGCGTGGAGGCGACCCTTTCTACCTCCAGTGGCTCGAACAACTCTGTCGCGTGAACCAAGCCACGCGCGTCGATGTATCCCTGTATCTTCTACGGACGACGGAATTCTACCTCATCTACCCGGAGCAAGTAGTGCGATTCACGATGTTCCTGGAAAGTCTAGGCGAGAACGACCAAGGCTTTGCCGCAATTCGTAAACTCGATTTCCAGCTCTTTGGCCGCTACCAACCAATTGCTGGGACTAGCAACACTTACATCGAGCTCATGAAGCGATGTACAGGTTTAAGGGAAGTTGCATTAAAATTCGAAGTAGGATACATGACGATCGACTCATGTAACTGGACCGAGGATGTTGTTATCCCTCCTACAACGCTAGGGACCTTTGATCTATGGACATTCGATCAAACGCGCATCAGAGAGCTAGAAGATGTCATTGCAATTTACCAGTTGGCAGACCTCCTGGAGGTAGAAAGTTTGCAGACGTTGACGATCGAGGCTTGGCCTAGGATCAGGGTAAGTGATCGGCACGGTATGCAGAACGTTTTGGTGGACTGTGCGCCGTTGATCGAGCGGTTGGTGGTGTGGCTTCGGGAGGGGTTTGCTGCCAGAGGGAGGGAAGTTGATGTAAAATATGTGGAAGCGAGTAGTCCGGGATTGAGGTGGAGTCGGCGGATCTGAGGTACCTAGTAGTTGCTCAGGTTTCCATCTGAAGTCCGTGAGCAATGAGACAGTCGACTGAGTCGATTGTACAAATCCCATAAGCAATCGTTACTTTGTCTGATTACTTGGCCAAAATGCATGCACTTATCGCCTACCAAATTACATGTGTAGTATGTTGTTGTTTTGTGAAAGTAGCATGGAATGGAAGATGACGTGCGTGGAAGGTGAAGTTGGGCTGGGTCTACCGACAGGTCTATGACTAAGCGAGGATTAAGTCGTGTTTGCCATGTAATCCCAGCCAGCCCTAACCAGCCTCATTCCTTCCACGACCGAGCGCATCCGCAACACCATCGTCGCTCAACCATTTTTGACCATCACTGCCATTGCTGCATCTGCGCGCACTTCGGGGCTCAATTTTGACATTGTCGGCGCGCTTTCACGCCACGCGCATCGACTTGGCCGCGACGCGTCGACGTAAACAACAGCGCGACTCCTCCACCACCCCGCCCACAAATCGACCTACCCAACCACCACCATGTTTCTTCCAGAGGACCTCCTATTCAAGCAGGGCGCGCTTGCGCACGTCTGGCTCGCCTCGAATCAACAGAAGAAGCTCACCAAGGCCCAGGTGCTGCAGCACAAGATCCCAGAGAGTTGCGAGGTCATCATCCGACCTGAGGTGGCCGCTGGCGGTCCGCTTGCATTGCGTTTGAACGCGCAGTTGCTCCTCGGTGAGGTTCGCATCTACAACAAGAAGGTCAACTACCTCCAGGATGACTGTCAGGAAGCGCTGTGGAAGATCAGGATGGTAGGTTCCAAGTTTGACTGCGTGACATGACCACCTCTGACTCCTGTGCAGGCCTTCCGTCCCGGAAACATCGATGCGCCCGCCCAGACTCACGTCGCCAACCCCACAAACCTCATGCTGCAGGATCAGATCACCGATCTCGATCTCTTGGCTCCCATGCCCGACCCTTCTTTCCTTCTCTCCCAGCCTCTTAGCGGCAGCCTCAACCTCGGCAACACCACAGTCCCCGATTGGGACAACAGCCAGTTCCTTTCCGGCAGCATTGAGCAGGCGCGCGGAGAGCCCATGGAATTGCCGGATGACGACTTGAACTTGGACATCGGAGAGGATGATGACTTGGAGCCGACAGCCGCCTACGACGAGGGTACCAGCATTGAAGTTGGCCGTAACGCACCTTTGGAACGCCGTCGGTCCGAAGAGTTTACCGGGCTAGGCAAAGACATGATAGTGGATGACGATGATCTCGGCATCGACCTTGGCGAAGATCCTCCCACTGAACTCGCACGCGGCCATGAACTCAATCTGGACGATGACCTGGATATTACTATGGGCGGTATGGACATGGACACCGAACTTCCTGCAGGCTCTATCGCTGGCGACTTCCCTGTGCGACAACGTGAAGAGTCACCGCTCTCCGAGTTGGGAGAGGAGGAGGCCACACGTCTTGAACAGGAGGTTGCCGAACAGAACGTCACCGTGTTTGAGCCAGAGCCAGAGCAGGAAGAGGAAGAATCAATCCATCAAGCTCGCGCCAAGCGCAGGAGGGTCATTGCAGCTGATGCCGAAACTATGATCTCAAGTCACCAGTTAAGGGAACAACAGAACAATCGCGAGAAGATCCTCAAGCCTGCATCATTCCTGCCTCGCGACCCTCTTCTGATGGCTTTGATGAACATGCAAAAGTCCGGAGGGTTTATCTCAAGCATACTGGGCGACGGACGAAGCCAAGGATGGGCTCCAGAGCTTCGAGGTATCCTTTCCCTAGAAGTTGTCTCACGCCCAGCCCAGAAGCGCAAGCGTGGTGGTGCAATTGCCGACAATGACGCTACCGAAGACGAGGCCGCAGCCGAAGGAGAGAAGACGCCACAACTGCAGCTGGAATTTGAGCAGGATGAGCCGACTTTAGGAGGCGGTGACCTTGGCCTTGGTGGCGACAACGACCCCACGCTTGCGGGATCCGACGATATCGTTCAACTTCCCGATGACCCTGGTTTCCAACAGGTTGGTGATGACGAAGAGGACATCTTCTCGCCCGTTCCAGACAACTTCGACGACACAACCGCGCCGCTCGTCCATCCCGACGAAGCCGGGCCCGTATCGCTAGGCACAAAGCACGCTGTCCATTTCTTGCGAGAACAGTTTGGACCCGAAGCTGAAGAGAGCGAGTCGGTACGACAGAAGACTAGCATCGTTTTCCAGGATGCCTTCCCAGAGGCCCGCACATCACGGACAGACGCGACGAAGATGTTCTTTGAAATGCTGGTACTGGCGACCAAGGATGCCATCAAAGTTGAGCAGCCAGCTAACGAGCTTGGTGGCCCTCTACGCATTCGCGCTAAGCGTGGCCTTTGGGGACAATGGGCAGAGACTGGTGCTAGTGGCGAGCTGGCATCCCAGGCTCAAGCAGCACCTACAGGAGATCCCGACGCGCCCGCTGAGGCCATGTTCCAGGGACCACCTGAGGTGTCTGTATCTGCCTAAAAGTTCAACAATCTGTGTTTCTCCGACCTTCTTTGGGGCTTGGTATCATCTGTCGGTGTTGGCTGGATACCCTTTCCATGTATGACTCTTTTCACGTTGGAGACGGACTTTGACTGGTGTTTTGGTGTTCTTGTGAGGTATGGTGTTTGTGGGAAGTTGGTCCCTTGTATGATTTGTATTAGGATAGTTACATTAGCTTTGGAAGACGGAATGAATTCAGTACTACCTTCACGGATCTGGAGTATCCTTCTCCAAGTGATGCTTGAAACGTCATGACTTCACGGTTGATCATTTGACTGAAGTTAATGACTTGGAGGAAATGTGCATTGTGTTGGCGCGTATTGCTCGGAAAAAGTTGGGCTGTCCAACTTGAGGCAGGTGCGCTGCGGCAGATTATCCCGAGGTCGGCAACTGCGTCTTCGCGGCCTTGCCCTTTGCACCTACTCGCCTCTCTGAACTCCGGCGACGACATCACCCTCCAAAATTCCCGCCGTGCTAGCCATCGCACACTGCGATGCCTACGAATGCAGCGGCGACAGGCCGCACGCGCAAAAGGGCTGCCGAGGCGTGTACGTTCTGCCGGCGGAGGAAGGTTCGTTACTGGACGCCTGCATCCATGGATGTCATCGTCAAGGAGCTGCATACTGAGGCTGACAGATCAAATGCAGTGCTGAGAAGCCAATCTGCGCAAGTTGCAAAACGCATGGTACAATTTGTCATTACGAGCCTATATCCATAGATGACGTACAACATGCTACCAGTCGTCCGCGCAAGACGCCGCGAGCAGAAAGAACATCCGAAAGAGCATCAGACAGGACATCAGAGTCAACACCATCGATCGCTGCTTCTGCGCCTGTTGGACAGACCCCTGCAACTACACCTCAAAGCGTGTCGCGCATTGTTGTCGCTCCCAATGGCTCCTCTAGCTATCATGGGCGCACGAGCACTTTATTTGACGAAGGCACCAATGATCGATATGCTGCTGAAGCACGACCCCAAATGTCAGATGAATGGATCGAAAAAGGTCTCGTTGCTGAAGCTGCTCGTCAGAGACAACTTGAGACGGTCAACTTTCGACTTAAGAAGCTCGACTTCGACGGCGTCGAACCTGAGCTTGGCATGCACTTGTTATCATTACACTGGAACCGGCAACACCATTCTTTCCTTACTACCTATCGCCCAGCCTTCATGCGTGACATGGCATGTGGCGGTCCGTACTTCTCCAAACTTCTCTTGAATGCCATCTACTTCGGCGCCAGCAAGTTCAGTCCACGGCATGAAGTTCGCCGTGCAGCAGATGATGTCCGCACTGCTGGGTGGCAATTTCGTGAAAGAGTGAGGGAGCTCCTAGGAGGTGCTTTGGACAAGAGTGAAATCACAACAATTCAAGCGTTGCTAGTTATGACCAACTCGTTGTTTGCTCTTGGCGATGAGCGCAGTGCTGCGTGGTTGTACGCTGGGCTGGCATTTCGCATGATTGTTGACCTCGGTCTTCACGTTGATAAGCCTGAATTTGCAGGATATCGCAAGCTTTCTGATGAGGACCATGAAATTCGGCGTCGTGTTTTCTGGGCAGCATTTGGTAGGCATGGTCTTCAAATTGCTCATCATTCCACTAATAAGAACCGCAGTCGTCGACAAGATCCAAAGCCTCTATCAAGGTCGCCCAGTAAGCATGACAGACACACTCGTACCCACCAAATTCCTCGACACCTACGAAGAACTTGAGCATTGGACACCCTTTTCCTATTCCACGCAACCAGACGCCGTCTATCTAGGTTCGCCGGCTTATAGTATCTCCACGTTTCGACACCTTTGCCAGCTCTCGGTTATTCTGAGCGACATACTCAGCACCATCTATACCGAAAGAAGCTTCGACGTAAGCCCTACAGAGCTGTCCACCAAGTTGGAGAGCATACATCAAAAGCTGTTAACATGGCGTGGGCTTCTGCCCGAACACCTCACGGTAGATGTAGCGGAAGTAGCGGCGACACCTCCTCCGCATGTTCTAAGCTTACAGTAAGTGATTATAACGCTGCACACGCCACGGATGTACTAAAACAACACTAGCGCCTTGTACCATGTTCTCACGATTCTCTTGCACCGACCCTTCGTCGCAGATGGGCATCTCTACAATACATCACGCGCCATCTCCGTGAACTCGTTTATGGCGTGCGCCACTGCGGCGGATGCTATTGTACAGCTCCTGAGAGCATACGACAAAACTTTCAGTGTGCGGAGAGCTCCTTACCTGATTTCCTATGCGACTTATGTTGCTGCCACTGTGCATGCCCGTATTGCAGCCAAGCGTGGTGCCGGCTCACAAGCTCACAAGAGCCTAGAGACTTGCTTAGCCGTTTTCCGCGACAACCAAGAGACTAATTGGGCTGTACGACGCGCCAATGCCATTATTCAGAGCCTGATGAAGAGATTGGGTGTTGTTGCACCCGAGCTGAATGATATACATATCGGCAGTGGTGAAGACAACCACAGCAGCGCACCAGACGTTTCTTTGGGCAGTGCAATGGATCGCGAACCAAGCCTACAAAGCTTCGATATCGATGGCATTATCCAGAGTTTTGTCCGAGATCAGGACTCTACGCATCCAGCGCAGCCAGGTTCAATGGACCCTACTGCCGAATTGGCTGTACCTGGAGTGCCGCCGTCGGCATACAGTACTACGGAGACGGCAAACCTGCCCTTTGGAAATTCTGGAGATTGGACTTATCAGGGCCAACAGCAAACCTTCAGTGAGCAACCGTTTTCAGTAGATGACCTACTTTATGGATTCAACGGGTCAGAGCTTGATCAATTCACAATGCTGGACTGGGACATGTAAGAGTTGAAGCTTTGCATGAGCCTGGCAAACCACTGTTACCGGAATTACCATCTCCCGATGTGCACGGCCAAGGTTTCCTCTCGCGAAAAGACCTTTCAGGCTTGAGCGCGAAAGACAGAGAAGAGACGGGTATAGTGACACTAGACTTTTCTGTTAGCGCGTCAAATCCTGTGGTTTATCAAGACCCGCGGGAAGAAAGCCGAGGTTTTACCGCGGCTAGGCTTTCCGCAGCAACTTGAGATCCCACGGCATCTTGCGCGCTAACGGGAAGAGTCTCATGCTTCTACCCGTTGGTATCTACCCGAACACTTTTGGAACGAAGACATATATAGAGAGTTGCACCGTCGAACATGATGACACATGTCAGCCTAGAAACGAAGCACCGACTTCATCGCATTCATCACCTTCAATCGCAGCATCATCCTCTATAGATGATTCGCACACTTCTCAAACCATCTAGTTTTCAAAAGGCACACGCCTCAACTGTCTCACATATCTCGCCAATCCGCATACCTGAACTCCCAATGGCACACGAAAGCGCCCCGAAAAGAGTGCGACACAGCCTACCAGCCGTTTTGATGCGTGCTGGTACTTCGAAAGGCCTCTTCATCCATCGTCACGACTTGCCATCTTCCCAATCAGCGTGGACAGGCCCATTACTTGCCGCCATGGGTTCTCAAGGCTCGGATGCTCGACAGATTGATGGAGTAGGAGGAGCGACTTCAACGACTTCCAAGGTTGCAGTGGTTTCGCCATCATCCCGAATGGGCGTCGATATCGATTATACTTTTGTACAAGTAGCAGTGGGTCAGGAGGCGGTCGACTTCAGCGGAAACTGTGGAAACATGTGCGCTGGTGTTGGACCATTTGCGCTACAAGAGGGACTAGTGCGTGCAAGTCCCGGAGAGAAGACGGTAAGTCCTTCTGTTGTAATTGAGACGGATGGGATACTCATTCTTCTTCAGCTCGATGTACGGATCTTCAATACGAACACTTCGCGGCTCATCGTCGATACCGTTCAAGTAGACGAGGACGGATCGTTCGATGAAGACGGAGACTACGCGATACCAGGCGTCAAGGGAACCGGAAGCGAAGTAAAAGTGGCCTTTGTGGATCCTGCCGGGAGCATGACCGGAACTCTCTTTCCTACGGGGAGACGATGTGATACTATTCATGTGAAAGGACAAGACGGCAATCGCTTCTCGGTCAAGGCGACGTTGATAGACGCAGCGAATCCTTTTGTCCTAGTCGACGAACGAACATTACCGCCAAACCTAAGGAGAGGTAGCAAAGACACGGCCGTCTATCTCCAGCACATGGAGTCAATACGATGTACTGGCGCCGTTATGATGGGTCTCGCTTCTGATGTAGACGCTGCTGCAAAAGTCCGCGGGACACCGAAGCTGGCTATCGTTTCTTCTCCTCAACCAGATGATGGTTCTCAGGAAGGCACGCCGGACGTTCATGTCCAAGCTTTCAGTATGGGCAAACCCCACCCGAGCCTGCAACTCACAGGTGCGGCATGCTTGGCGTCGGCAGTGTGCATAGAAGGTACCGTCGCCCACGGACTTGCATCCGGCGGCGAGGTACAGTCCTCCTGGCAGTCGTCTTCACCTGAGCGGACACCGAGTCCCTGCTCAGACTCTGATGGTAGCTCTCCGGATCTTCTACCGAGCCAGAGGAGAGTCTGTCTTTCGCATTCGAGCGGGTCGATCAAGGTTGATGTTCTGGCAACCAGCTCGGAATCGTTTGCTTTTGTCGATAGGTGCGTTGTCTCGCGGACTGCTCGGCGGCTATTCGAAGGGAAGGTGTATTATTACTCGAGTAGCGTTTAATCAAAGTAAATCCAAGTTCTACAAGATGATGATGAGGAAATTGCGCAGGCTGCAGCCACAGCTGTAGAGTTTGAGAGAGGCTGGTGTATGACATCACACGCAGAGCCACGGAAAAGCGCGCCATCACTTGAGCGTGCAGCAGACATGTACCTGCCAAGGCGTCACTCGACGCTGCGAGAAGCCGACACATGGCAGGCAACACAACACTAAGCTACAAATAGAGGTTACATAGAGTGTTTCAAAACGGAACACGTCGTCAGATGGGTCTAGTGCTGTGAAGTCAAACAGTAGTTCGTGTGAAAGTGGTGACCAGACGCTGGATGAAGACCCCTGCTCGAGAGTACCGGTGCTTTGACGTTTTGGTCCACCATCGACATTGAGCAACACCATCCCCAACGACAACCCGCAGTCGACTCGCCATTTCCTTGTCTCGTCCCGCTCGCCAATCAAAGACGCGTTATTACTACTAGCACCAATGCGATAATCCACGGCGACGAGCATCTTTTCCCACGCTAGCTCTGGACGGATAGGCCACGTTGGACGGCGGCGCAACAGTCGACTCCTGGCCATGCCAACATGTCAAAAGCATCCACGTCCTCATTGCCCCTCTACAATGCCGCGGGCTTGCCCTCCAAGTCTTCGCGGCCCTCTTCGCCCATGCTGCAGCCGCCAGAAGCCATCAAGCGCAGCACCACGCCCTCAGTACGCCATGCGCTCCCGAGTTTTGGACACGCCGCTGACACGTGTGAATAGTCAATAACATCCGCCCATTCCCTCCTCTCGGCACACGACACGGCCCACAAGCTCTCGACGTCGATTACACATGGCCTCTCTGCCTCGGACGCCTCGGCGCGCATCCACACCCACGGCCTCAACGAACTCCCCCACGAAGAGCCCGAACCGCTCTGGCTCCGCTTCCTCAAGCAATTCAAGGAGACGCTGATCTTGCTGCTGCTCGGGTCCGCTGCTGTATCCCTCATACTGGGCAACTTGGATGATGCTGTGAGCATTGCCGTGGCTGTGACCATCGTGGTGACAGTGGGCTTCGTGCAGGAATACCGCTCGGAAAAGTCAATTGAGGCGCTGAACCAGCTGGTTCCGCATTCGGCACACATCATTCGCGCTGGGGTCGAGCAACCACGGAACGGTCGCATACCGAACGGCACGGCAACTGACGACGTCGAGTTGGAGAATCTCAAGGACACCACTTCGGCCCTGTCAGCTGCGGAGCGGAAGTCTACTACCATATCTGCGACCTTGTTGGTACCTGGCGACCTCGTCCTCTTCCACACTGGAGACCGCATACCCGCCGACATTCGCATCACGCACGCCGCAGACCTCAGCATCGACGAGTCGAACCTCACCGGCGAGAACGAGCCTGTCTCCAAGTCGCCAGACACCATCACACCCCCGCCGGGCTTGCAACGGCCATCTTCACCTTTCTACGCGTCCGAAGCCGCAGGAACGGTCGGCGCTGATATACGACTGAATGACCAGAAGAACATTGCTTTCATGGGTACATTGGTTAGATCGGGATACGGACAAGGAATCGTCGTCGGCACAGGAGGCAACACGGAGTTTGGTGCCATCTCTGCATCTCTGCAGCAAATTGAAAGCCCGCGGACGCCTCTACAACTTTCCATGGACCGTCTGGGCAAAGACCTGAGTTACATGTCTTTTGGAGTCATTGCCTTGATTGGTCTGGTAGGGCTGTGGCGCGGTTGGAAGTTCATCGAGGTCTTCCAGATCGCTGTTTCACTTGCTGTCGCCGCTATTCCCGAAGGACTGCCGATTATTGTTACTGTCACGCTTGCGCTGGGTGTGCTGAGGATGTCCAAACGCGACGCCATTGTTCGACGGCTACCTAGTGTTGAGACGTTGGCTTCTGTCAATGTCGTGTGTACTGACAAGACGGGTGAGTCAACCATTCTTCGCGCATATGACATTTACTGACCTGGACCAGGCACGTTGACCACGAACCATATGACCGTTACGAAGATATGGCACTTTGACGAAGCAGCACCGATTGACGTAAAGACGAAACACGACTCCACGGACCTCGATTCGCCGACCCGCAACATACTACGAATTGGCAACATTGTCAACAATGCCCGCTTGTTGAGCGACCAGGCGGCCTCGGCGTCCACGGCAGCGGTACTCTCTTCGACTCTAGGAGGCGACGACAATACAGCTGCCAAGAGCCGATGGGTCGGTCAACCCACCGATGTCGCGCTCTTAGACCTGATGGACGCTTTTGGGGAAGACGATATCCGGGAAAGACTCGGCGAACGCAAGTTCGAGACGCCGTTCAGCTCGGAGAGGAAGTGGATGGGGGTCGTCGTTGGTGGTAATTCTGGCAACCTCACCCCTGGATCTGAACACGCATACATCAAAGGCGCACTGGAACGGGTTCTGGACCGCTGTGATACGTATGTCACGGCACAAGGGAAAGAGGTGGCACTGGACCAAGCACGCAAGCAGGAAGCGATGAAGGCCGCCGATGCAATGGCGCAAGAAGGCTTACGTGTGCTCGGCTTCGCAAGCGGTGCATCCAAAGGGAAAAAGAGGAATGCCAGTGGTACAGCCTCACCTGCACCATCCACCAGCTCGGCACTTGGGGATGATGAACAGTACCGTGGTCTTGCGTTCGCTGGCTTGGTTGGCATGAACGATCCGCCGCGTAAGGGTGTAGAGAGAGCCATTCGGAGACTCATGGCCGGCAAAGTCAAGGTTATCATGATCACAGGAGATGCAGAGACCACAGCAGTCGCCATCGGAAAGAGTCTGGGTATGCCAATTATGCCAAACTCAGCACTTGGACGCTCAGTCATTCGTGGTGACGAACTGGATCACATGAGCGAGGAAGAGCTTGCACAGGCTATTGCGACAACCTCGATCTTTGCGCGAACTAGTCCTGAGCACAAGATGAAGATTGTCCGAGCACTACAATCACGAGGCGATGTTGTGGCAATGACCGGTGACGGTGTCAACGATGCGCCTGCACTCAAGAAAGCAGATATCGGTATCTCCATGGGTCGACTTGGTACAGATGTCGCCAAGGAAGCCGCAGACATGATTTTGACAGACGACAACTTTGCGACCATCCTCAATGCGATCGAAGAGGGCAAGGGCATCTTTTACAACATCCAAAACTTCCTTACCTTC